CCTCGCCACTCTGGCCGGAAAATGCGGGTGGCTGGGAGAAGCTGCCAGACGTCTGCAGTAGCTGGTCGCTGTCTTGGGAAAATAAATGTATTTTTCCTCTCCAGAAGCTGCAGATGAGTGGAAGAGGGTGTCTTCACTGCCACTCCCACACCCTGAAAGAGTTGCAGATTTACTGAGAATTTGAGAAGAGAACATGAGGAATAGTCACAGTTAATGTCTGCACCAGTGTGAGCTTCACGGTTAATGTCTGCACTGGTGTGAGCTTCACAATTAATGTCTGCACCGGTGTGAGCTTCACAATTAATGTCTGCACCAGTGTGAGCTTCACAGTTAATGTCTGCACTGGTGTGAGCTTCACAATTAATGTCTGCACCGGTGTGAGCTTCTTTTTACCCCCCCCCATGTCCTTGCAGATGTAAAATCCTTCAGAATGTCCCTGACAACTGTTCATTTAGATTTTCTGGGGGACCCAGGTTCTATACTCACCTTTCAACAAGATTTGTGGATGACCTGGATGCTTATTAGGGACTAAGAGTGGCCTCTGCAGTGACAATCCAAAGAGTCATTATATCTAGAAAAGCAACAGCCTTCAAGCATTGGGTTGAGGTATCTATAGCTCAGTGATGGAGCATTTGACTTGCAGCATAAGGACCTGTGTTTGTCCCACGTTGAAAAGAAAAGAAAAGAAAAGAAAAGAAAGGAAAGGAAAGGAAAGGAAAGGAAAGGAAAGGAAAGGAAAAGAAAAGAAAAGAAAAGAAAAGAAAAGAAAAGAAAAGAAAAGAGAAAAAGCTAGGTGATGTGGCAGTCTTAAAATCTCAGTACTGGGAAGGCAAATCATGGAGACCCTGGGGGCTCTCTGGACAATCAGCCCAGCCTGTCAGGTAAGTGCCCAGCTAGAGGGAGACTTTGCTTCAACTTTTTTTTTTTTAAATAAGGTAGGCAAGGCAGCATCTAAACGTTGCACTGGATGTGGTCCTCCAAGCTCTACACACATGTAAACACATGTAGATATGCACATGCACCCGCATCTCACATACACTCTCATGAGTGTGGTGCCACGGCCCTCAGGACGGTCATGAGTTCAAGTCTAGTCAATGCTACATAGAGAGACCTTGTCTCTGAAGAAAACATAGAACTGAGGATCTGCTCTTTAGACTAAGAGCGCTTGCTGCTCTTCCAGAGGCCCCCGGCTGGATTGTTCGTAAGCACCTGTAACTGCAGTTTCAGGGGCCTGATGCCTTCAGTGGGTGCAAGAACACGCATACATAAAACAGATAAGCCTTTAAAAAAGACTACATAGAACATTAGCAGTGGAGGTTTACTTCAGGCAGCCTTGACATTATTTTGGCTAAAAGAGGTTATGGACTATTATTTCACTTCGTTCATAAATCTGAATCAAACGCGGAACTAACTCAAAGGCAGCCTCAGTCACAGACACAGGCCACCATATAACTTGGTCAGGCAAGCTGGACCAGGCTCAGGGAGGGTGGGAGCAGGAAACGGTCCCTTTGGTGACCAAATGCCTTCTGCATATTAACCACATATATTGACTTTGTGTGGGGACCTGGAGAGTCCAATCACCACAAACATGAAGGTCAACAGACACTTGGCAGACCTTCATGCTGAATTAAATCAAGCAAGCCCAGGGTTGGGAAGGATATAGCTCAGTTGATGGAACGCACGAAGCCCCAAGTTTGATCCCCAGCACTGCATACACAGGCTGAAGGGGCACTCAGACCTCACACTCAGGAGGCAGAGGCAAGAAGAGAAGTTCAAGGCCATCCTCAGCTACCTAGCAAGTTTTACCCCAGTGAGGGCTACATGAGACTTTTTCTCAAATTAAATAAACAAGTAGACAAATTTAATTTAGCGAGCATGTCCCCACGTCTTCATCTTCCTCCTCTACTATCCTTACAGGTCAGGAGGAGGGCCGTTCTGACATGGAAGCAGGGTTTTGCCCCTTACCCAGCTATGGAGATCCCCAGTGCTCCCTTTGCACAGAATTATCCCGATTCTGAGGCTCAATCATTGGGTCAAGGGAAGAGTACAGAGAAGGGGAGCTAGGAATTCTGCTGTGCTTCTCCAGACGGGAGGCAATCTGGGCTCTCCTGCATGCTGGAGCCTCCTGGTATAGCAAGCTCTAAGCTGAACCCTGGAAGCCATTCTCTCCTTCCTCTTCCCCGACCACTTCCACCCACGGGGCACGTTAACCCTTTTCAGATCCTGGTGCCCGAGAAGCATCGCAGGGCAGTCAGAGTATGTCACTGCTCACTTTGCAGCATGCCATCTTTATTCCCCAATTACCCCAGTAACCTAAAGGAGAGGGGAAAGGCACAAGAGTGACAGTGGCCATCTGGAGTGCATAACGCAGACAGATCTGCAATGTATTACATGGTCTGCAGAGGGGCTGGGCGAATTCCAGGGAGCTCAGATAGACTTCAAAGTCTGGCCGTACATCAGTGGAACTGCCGATCGGCTCTGATATTTAAAGTGGGTGTACGTGAATGAATTTATTACACTTTTTATCATCTGGGCTCGGATGAGGAAACAGGATCATAGGCAAGTTTGCCTTTCTAGTTTCACGCCGCACTTTCCCCTTAGATTTTAGGGTTTTTTTCCTTCTTGATGTGGTACTGTTTCTTGACTTTCTTCATTTGGACTGCCACATACCTTTCTTATCTCTGCTATGTGACGGAAAATGGGCTGACGTGTATGGACAGCAGAGCTGAACAGAGTCATCTAACTGTGGGATGTTTTGCAGGAAGGGTCTCAGTTCCAAAGTACTTATAGCTTCATGCAAGTCCATGGTCTCTTGCCCCGTCCCCTCGCTTGCTCTCTCTGCTCTCTTGCTCCCCACGTCAAAGGTGGAGACCTGGTTTCTACTGCGTGACATTTATTTCCGAAACCCTGCTGTCAGTGGAATTCCCTAAGACAATTACGAGTCCAGCCTGGGCTCTGAAGCCACCTGGAGACCTTGATCTGCATCCTGCTGGTAAAAACTCACTTCAGGAAGGCACAAGGTCCATTCTCCAGGGCTGACAGCCTCCAGATACCTTTGAGAAGCAAGCATCTTCTCACTTGGGCCACCTCGGCTGCTTTCAGCTCCTGACCTTGACCCTCAAAGAACCTGGGCAATGTGGTTTTGTGTCAGTTGCATAGTAAATGCCTTGCACCCCTCTGCCCCCCAGAGCAGTGGGCCCCATGTCTGGTCTCCAGACCATCCTCTGTTGGATCTTTGGGGACTAGGATGAGAGAAAACGTTTTTTTCATATGCACATAAAGGTTAGGAGCCCGCCCAAAAGCGTGGGCCAATCTCATCACAGGAACCACCAGCTATTGCTTCTCTTCACTACCAAATGTGCATTGGAATTCTTTTGGATTTATATGTTGATTAAATTATTACAGCGTGGCTGAAATCCCTATGAAAGTATTCATTGTGGAACATAGTATGGCGGCTTCTAATCTATTTAAATGTAGAGCCAAGGCCCTCTTATGAGCACACACAGATGGGAAGAGGGATCAGCACATCATGAAGACAGCTGGGCTCCAGCTCACAGGCCCATTGTCACTGTTTCAGCCAGCTTTCAGTCACTGTGACAGAGAGCCCAAGAAAGTCAGCTTACGAGGAGGGAGGGGAAAGGTCAATTTGGCTCCCAGCTTTAGAGATTTCAGTACAGCCATGTGACTCCATTGTTCTGGAGTCTGGTGAGACAGAAATCATTGCAAAACGGAGGTGAAAGCTGCCCACGTTGTGACAGCCGAGAAGCAGAAGACCCCAGTACCTTTTTCAAGGACAAGCCCTGATGACATAATGTCCTTCCGTAGATCTAAGCCCATCACTGGTGGGCCATCACGAGCAGAGCTGTGACTGCTGCCAGAGTCACTGGCCTTTAGGGGGCATCGAGTCCAAACCACAAGCTCAGCCCAGTCAAGGCCTTCACAGAATATACAGGAGTGTGAGGTGTGTGTGTGTGTGTGTGTGTGTGCGTGTGCCCATGTACATGTGTATGTTGTGAAATATTAATTTAAGATGTGTTACCTTTGTTTATGCTGTGGGATATTTGTTTAATGATGCAAAGATGTGTTAAATTTGTTTGATGAAATAACATTAGCCTAGGCTCAGGAGGCTGAGTCAGCAGCTAGCTGACTGGAAGAGTAGGGAGGAACCAGGTGAACCTAGGGTTCTTCAGTGGGGCTGAGCAGAAGGACATGCTGTCTGGGGGAGACGCAAGCTAGGAGGGAAGGTGAGCTGCTTGCTGGTCAGCCTCTCTGAGTGGGCAGAATTTTACCTCAACCTTTGCATTCTGAGTTCTATAGAGAAATAACAGTCTAGATAAAGCTCCCTTTAGTGGCCCTGTAAGAGCTGATTCAGGTTCAGCATGGGGGAACTGAACCGCTACTGATAGCTGCCGAGATGCAATTGTGACTTACAGCAGCAGTGACTTAACAGTCACTGAATTTAATAAAAGTCATCATTAGGTACCCAACATGGGATGCCAAAATGATGTTGCTTATTTTTTACTCTTTGGGGACCCACAGTCCAGCTCCCAAATTAATTACACACAGAGACTTTTTCTCTTATGAGTGCCCAGCCTTAGCGTGGCTTATTCCTAGCTAGTGTTTCTTCTTCTTCTTCTTCTTCTTCTTCTTCTTCTTCTTCTTCTTCTTCTTCTTCTTCTTCTTCTTCTTCTTCTTCTTCTTCTTCTCCTCCTCCTCCTCCTCCTCCTCCTCCTCCTCCTCCTCCTCCTCCTNTCTTCTTCTTCTTCTTCTTCTTCTTCTTCTTCTCCTCCTCCTCCTCCTCCTCCTCCTCCTCCTCCTCCTCCTCCTCCTCCTCCTCCTTCTTCTTCTCCTCCTTCTTCTCCTCCTTCTCCTTCTCCTTCTAGCCACGAGGTCTTTTATTTTCATCAATCATACAAATAATTTTCTATAATATCCCAGGGCAAACCGGTGAAATTTGGCAGTCCAATTAGTGGGGGGGGGTCCTCATTCAGAGACCCGCGGGCCGGTGGCATCGGCGCCAAGTGCCCCGGTTCACAGTGCAGCTTGTGGCTTGCGTCCATCTTGTAGGTGGCTCTTCCTCCACATCACGAGGGGGTCTCGGAGATGACGGGGTGGGGTGGGGTAATCCTCCAGTCTGGACTTTTAGGAAGTTTCACTCCTTTTTTCCTGTTCAATGGTCTCTTTGGTCGGCAGGGTGTTCTTCTCCTGCGTCTCGGTCTTCTTCAGCTTGGCCTTATTGAAGCTGGCGATTTCCCCCATGTCTGGCTTGTCTGCCATTTTCTTTCTTTTTGGGGGGGGGTTCCATCCACAAACTTTATTGTAGAATCTGTATACTAGCAACAGTCTCCAGTCCATTGGGCGTCACTTTCTTGTCACCCTGATCTATTCTCAGTCTTGGTGGTTCTGGCTGCAAAGGAACCCGTGGAGTCTCGTTCCGAGCTCGGGCTCCAGGTGCTCCCACTTGCCTTGCTGCATCAAGAGCGTTTCTTAACTTAAATTATTGCATCTACCTTTTGCCTCTGGGCTTTTACCTTTCTCTATTTCTGCATATCTTTCTTTACTTCTTACTCCATGGCTTGCTGTGTAGCTAGGTGCCTGGCCACTGTAGTCTTCCTCCTTCTCTTGCTCCTCAATCCTCTCTCCCAAGATTTCTCCTCCTATTTATTCTCTCTGCCTGCCAGTCCCGCCTGTCTTTTCTCCTGCCTACCTATTGGCCATTCAGCTCTTTACTAGAACAAACAGGTGTCTTAAACAGGCAAAGTAACACAGCTTCCCAGAATCAAACAAATGCAACAGAAAAGAATGCAGCACACCTTTGTATCATTAAACAAATGTTCTGCACATAAACAGATGTAACACATCTTAAATTAATATTCCACAACACACGTACAGACACACATAATATCTTATACATCTGTATGTTCTTTAATATTCTACAATGTGCGTGTGTATGTGCAAGTATGTGTTTATTAAGCAAGGGGCGTGTTGAAAGCCAGCTTCAACAAAACTTGTATGTTCCAGTGTGAAGATTAGAATTTTTAGGCAAAACGAACAGAGATACAGCAGAAATAAGAAAGAGCAACATAGAACAGTGTTGGGAGGGACATTCAGTAAATACTGGGTCTGCCTTGTCTGTTCTTCCACACGCTTATATACTTCACTCTAAGGGGGGGGGGCAACAGACTTCATTAATATGATGCAAGGAATAGACATGAATCCTCCGACCCTTGGTCCAGGTGGAGTGAATCCACCTCTATATCCAAAATACAAATCAACCACACCCTAGGTCAGAATCTCTCATTTGTAGCCACACCTGTTGTCAACAACTTTGAAAGAGCACAAATCAGCTCAAACTCTCTGACCTCCAGTCGAGGTGGAACAGGTTCACGGCTCTGTGGGCCCTCACAGGGATGAAAGAAAACAAGAGCTTAAGATCTTGGACCAGCACGAGTGCCAAGTGGAAATAGCTGGACACAGAAAGAAAATCACCGATTTACCTGTGGAATCTTTGACTTTGCCAATCCATACACCAGAACAACCAGTAGCTGGCAGGGTGCGGTGGGTGAGAGGGGGAGATCCAATCAAAGGGCACTCACGTCGGTTAAGAAGGACGGGGTCCAGGGAGCTGATGGAAGTGTGAGGGCTGAAGCAGAGTGAAGGCGTAAGTCACGAACAAGGCAACACCAGTTTGGAGTTATGATTAATAGGGTGTTATTTATTTAAAGGAGAAAAACTTACAGATCACAATCCCAGACAACAGCCATCTGCGCAACCAGGAAGGGAGTCTCGTCTCCAGCGGAGCCGTAAGAGAAGAGAGCGAGCAGAGGAAATAGCCACTTTTTTTAAAGGGAGTGAGACCACGCCCCAATGGGCTGGTATCACAGCAGCTATTGGTTGGAGGGGCGGAAAGACCTCCCGCAACAGCAGAGGATGTAGAACAGCCTGCCGCTATGCTTGCTCTCAGCAAAGAGGTCAAGAGCATCGTGCAGATTCGCATTGCAGCCTCACACGTGTGCACAGCCAGAACACCTTTTAAAAGATAGAATTGACTGCGGCTCTCACAGCCCAGGGCGGGGCACCAAGAATACAGTGATAGCCATACTTAGCATGAGCCCTGGTGGAGTTCACAGCAGGAAAGGGAGTGAGATTCATGGAGATAGGCGGGAGGATGCAAATACACTGGAGAGTACCTGAAACAAAAACCTTCAACTTTGGAGGATGAAAGAAAGAACTTGCACCCCACGGCCACATGCATCTGCTTGGGCCACTTGGTAGTAATTCTTGGTAGGGTGAAGTGGTAAATGGTAGATCACTGGCTGGGTGACAGAAAGAGACTTGTCACCTGAGTTTAGTGTTCTACCATAGTCATCATTAAATCAAAGCTGTAATAACAAACAACCTCTAAGACACAGTTCCACAGAGAATGGGTCCTAGATTAAAATGAAAATTTCCACAGAAATGAGAAAAAATAATACAGTGGTATGCAGACAAGCATTTATGTATGTGTTCAGTAATGAGATAACTTGACAGCTGGAACGTTCATGTATGAGTAAATGATAATGAGTAGATGATAAATGGATGGATAGGTGGATGGATGATGGATGGATGAAGGATGGATGGATGAAGGATGGATGAGGGATGATAGATGGATGAGATAATAGATGAGAAGATGGATTAAATGATAATAGATGGATGATATGTGCATGGATGAATGGATGGATAGATGATAAATGTATGGATAAGCAGATAATGGATGGATAGATGGATGGAAAGAACACGTAAGACTTGTAAGGCTAACACTGATCCTTCAACTCTCTGTAAAGGATCTTCTGTTATTCCAAGAATGTCTCCTTACTTCACTTTCTTGTTTTTTCTTAAGATAAAAGTAGATAGTGGCTATTTTGAACTTTCAATAAAAACCCGAAACTTTTCATATTCCCATAGTTCTCACATTTCCACCCCCTCCCCACCCCATTTGAAAGCTCTCCTAATCTATAAAAATCAGCCATCTGGCAGTGGCTTTCCCAGCATGCCTCTGGGGGCAGGGTCAATCTGAGCTGCATCGGCAGAGCCCTTGTGCTGCTGGGTGCACAGCTGAGGCACAAAGTGCACAAAGCATCTCGTGTTCCGTATCAGTGAAAGACGATCCCACCCTAACCCAGAAATTACAGGATTTGCTGCTGAGGACCTTCAAAGACTTCTCAACGTCCCTTTCTGCCTTTTCTCTTTCATTCTTTTTTATTATTCCCTCCCCCTTCATTCTTTTCATCCTCTTGCATGCACCCAGAAGAAAAAGAGTGGGAGAAGAAAAAATTGTTCTCCGGGTGACATTTCTGTCCACGCTGGTAGCCTTTAAGCCCACAACGTCTCCTTCTGACACTGAGCAGAAGTCTGGGTCTTCTGTCACGTGGTCATGGAGCTGTTGACCATGACAAATTCTGTCTCCTAAAGAGAGGACCACAGCTAGCAGGTTTTGAGGACAACCGCTCTAATGCTTCCTGCGTGTGAACAGATGACACACACACCAAAGTGACGGGAGACAGCCCTTCTTTCTGCCTGTGGGGCAATTAGAAGCCCCCTTGGCTGAAACTTGTAGAGAAACAACCATTGATGCACTATCCCTAACCATACTGTGTGCCTCCTGCTCATGATGCCAGCATTTCTACAAAATCCAGAAAAGCAGCAATAGCTCCTCTCTAAGGCTACAGCAGAGAACATTGGATTCCAGATTAGATCCTTGCCCACGCGGTAGAATTAGTCGGCAATAGCCATGGAAGGAAGCTGCATCCAACTTTGCCTCACTGCTGAACAAATTCGAGTGAGTCACCGAATGCCCGCGCTGAGATCTAGATTTCTTGTCAAAGCACAAAAGGATAAATTTCATGAAGAGATGATTTTTGTTAGCAATCTGACAGATGAGACTTAAAACCACTTCATGGCCTCACAGGAGAAACTGGATGTTGGGCTACGACATTCTCTGTCCTCAGGGCTGGCACACGACCGTTGGTTGGCTTGTGCTCAGGACAGAACCATGTTTCTTAGAATGATAATGTCAGGGTTACAGGCCCACAGCATCTCTGCCATAGAAGCCAGAGGTACAAGAAAATATTGGGTAAAGAGGGAGGGAAGTCTGTGATCAATCAGATTCACTAACAGCTGCCAATCAATAAAGTACACTCACAACACAGCACGAAGATGCTGCCACCGAGTATCCAGATTCTGCGTTGCCGTCTCCGCCATCGCCGATGCTTGCTTCAAAATGGATAAGAACCAAGCCACCAGCCACGTGTGCTCCTGTGGCTCGCTACCAGCTAGTCTACACCCAAGAGATAGTCCTTCGCCTATTCAGGTCAAATAAACAGCCCCAGAGAAGACCACACCCATTGGGCCAAGCCATCTCAATAGGATTGACTGTCAATAGAATTTCCACAACTGGGGTCTCCCCAGGCGAATGGGCAAGCCAGTCAACCTGAGAGTGTAGGAATTAGGAAGAGGGGAAAAGGGAGCTGAGTGCTTGTAGACCCACACTCCCTGTGGATGTTCTAACTCTTCATATTCTGTTAGAGCATTGCGTTCAGTCAAGGAGAACCTATGCTTTGGTTCTCCGTGGTTGGACTGTCTTTCCACGCATCCCCTGCTGACCAGACAGCAGGAACCAGTGAGACAAGGATCCTTGGGCTTTGCTTTGGACTCACAGGGGTGAGAAACACAGACCTGTGTGACCTATAGAGAAACATGGTTTAGTAAGCACCTGGAATTCTCCAGAAAGACACCAGAAAGTTCTAGATCCAGGGGCTACAGAATATGAATACAAGAGAAACAGTATCACATGATTCTTAGAAGGAGCATAGATTTGTCTTTTGATTTTTAAACTAAGAATATGTGAATCGTGTATATTTTGTAAAATTAGAAAAGAATAAAATTAAGAAAAATACGATACCCGTTTACCTACCTTCTTGACAGCTATGTGCAAGCGATTTGCTGTGTGTTCTCTGTTGTTGCAATTTCTTATGTATCATGCACGTACACTTCTGTATTTGTTTGCATTTTTATATATTACATCAAACATTATATAGTTTTCTGTAGTTGCACTTTTTCCTTAACAGAAGTTCAAGAAATATAGATTTTTGTTTTTAAATTTTTATTATGAAATGTTAAAATGCAGATAAGACAGAGAATCTAACACAAAAGTCAAGCATCTACCAATTAGATTTACATAATTATTAGTATCCCATGTAGTTCAGCAGACTTTCTAAAGAGATCAGACTCTACAGATA